TGGTTTTGCACGTCGTAGTGCATGCCGTGTCAGGCTGAAGCCGCACGCGAACACGGCCGCCCCAGCAATTGCAGTGTAGTGAGGTCCTGTGCGGTCCTGTGACAGTGACGGCTCCAGGCCGCCTCCCGCACCTGCTTGAAGCAGCTGCTGTCGCAGAAGCACATCCAGGTCATCGAGGACTTTCGCGGACCCGCACAAGCCACGCCGCAGGGAGCGCAACTGGCGATGTTTTCTGAGGAGGGCGAGATCACGGCGAGTGAGATCCGGGAGAGGTGCGGATGAAAGCGGGCTCACGGGAAATGCCGCTGCCGCGTGTACTCAGGGGACTTATCGACGTCCACTATGGCAGTGTGGCCGAGAAAGCCCTGCAGCAGCAACCCTCTGACATGCATGTGTCGACAGAAGCGGAGAAGGAGTTCGAGGACTGAACACAGAAGAGAAGGATAGCATAGCAGCACGAGGGACCATGTTGCAGGAATGCTTCGGCATGTCCTGGGAAGATGCCTTGAAGCAGGTGCAGCTTCAAATGCGTTAGCCGCTTTTGGGGTTCGTGCGATTTGTCCACTGCAGGACAGGGTGTGCAATGCCGCTGAGGCACAGAGCAGGCGTGCCGAGTTGGTTCCGCGCTTGTGCCCCGTTTTCTGTGTCCGTTTGCCCAGGCTGGGATGGACTTCCCAGGAGCTGGGCACGCATTGGGACACGCTGAAGATGGGCCAGCCGGCGCAAAAAAGAGCCACGGGCGTTGGCGCGTGCCCTGCAGTGCCTCTGGCAGGTGTTGGCAAGGTGAAGTTCGGCGGCGGCTTCTACTGTGGGCGGCTGCAAGACATCTTCGCGCCGGTCTCGCTTCTTCTTGATAGGCATGCTCGGGAGCAGCAGACGTTTTCAAGGTCATCAACGGTTTCTACATGGCCATGCGCGGCCAATACCTGATTCCCGGCAGGCTCGGGCCAACCTCTCGGGGTTCTGTCGCCCTTTTCTGGTGCCTGGGCCTCTGCCCGAATTTTGAATGCGAATGCCAGTTCGGTGTGGTGGTTCAAAGTGAAGTGGCAAGCCTCCGACATGTCCTGGAAAACGTCCCGGGCTCGGACTCAGCCGGCCAGAGAGAGCCTCAAAACCGCGTCGTTGAGTGCTCGCACGCGAGGAGCGCGATATCGGACCCTGTCTTCATGATAGAGGTTGAGAAGACTAGACTCGACGGTGGAGGGACTCGCTTCTGATTCCTTACCGCTTTGCCCTCATGGCAAGCTGTAGTATGGCGGTGTCTCTGTCCTCGTTGCCACATCGTTCTCTTGTCGACGTGAAAACTGGCCGAAAACACACATGCTGCAATTCCCCTCCTTTGCGACCTGCATGGTGGGCTGAGGTTTCGGGAAGAGGTGGTGGGCAACACCGATCCTGCAACTGCTGCGGAGAAATCCCTCCGCGGCATCTTCTACAAGAGCTGGACAGAGCCGTGGCCCCAGCTCACAGCCAGCAGGCTTGGCAGGGGCCCCCTGTCACTGAGGCTTGGCTTGCCGAGCCAGCCTCATGTAGGCGAGAATGCTGTTCACGGCTCTGCGAGCCCCTTCGAGGCGTGGAGGGCGGAGGGCCTGGCGTGTGGAGAGTGCTCTCGGCTTGACGCCTTACCAGCCAGGCCTTGGCGGAGAAGTGGAACTGGCTCGGGGCGGACTACGAGAGCGACCCCTTTGGGTCCCTGCTGCTCGAACGAGGCCCCGCGCGCGCGCGCGCGCGCTTGCGCGCTTGCGCGCCGCGCTCCAGGCTTTCGTATCGCTCCGCAGCCCAGGCGTGACCCCAGATTCTATCGGGAGATGGAAGAGAAACCCAGTGGCCGGAAGCCCAACTGCCCTTGGGAGAGCGGTGCCATTTGGTGCCGGATCTGAGGTGAAACTTGACGGGAGGCCATGGGGGAAGAGAGGGGGGGTAATTGGAGCTGCAAGGGAGATTCGGGGCCTGGAGGTCGCAGGCGGTCTTCGACCTCTTCGAGAACATGGCCTGGGCCCCAG